TTTTGAGATGGAGTCTAGCTCTGTTGTCCAGGCTAGAGTTCTGTGGCGTGATCTTGGCTTACTGCAACCTCTGCCTCCCAGGTTCAAGTGATTCTCCTGTCTCAGCCTCCTGAGTAGCTAGGATTATAGGCACCTGCCACCATGTCCAGCTAATTTTTGTACGTCAAGACGGCGTTTCACTGTGTTGGCCAGGCTGGTCTCGAACTCCTAATCTTGTGATCCGCCCACCTCAGCCTCCCAAAGTGCCGGGATTACAAGCGTGAGCCACAGCACCCAACCCTGATAAATGTTTTAATTCTTTTTCTTGTTTAATAGGTTTTTGTGTTTTGTAGTCAAATCAATTCATTTTCCCTTTGTGATTCTGTCTTGCTTTTAAATACAAACCATGCCCTTCCAGAGATGTGGTGTCACTTTTACTTTCTTTTAGCATTTTTTATTATTTACTTTCTTTTCTTGTTCTAAAAACATATTTTAAATCTCTATAGGGCAAACAATGTTCAAATAAAATATAATACAAGTCACAAATATGAGCCATATATGTAATTTTATTTTATTTATTATTATTATTTTTTGAGACCGAATCTTACTCTGTCACCCAGGCTGGAGTGCAGTGGCGTGATCTCATCTCACTGTAACCCTCGCCTCTGCCTCCTGGGTTCAAGTGATTCTCCTGTCTCAGTCTCCCGAGTAGCTGGGATCATATGCGCACACCATCATGCCTGGCAAATTTTTGTGTTTTTAGTAGAGACGGGGTTTTACTATGTTACCCAGGCTGGTCTCAAACTCCTGGGCTCAAGCAATCCGCCCGCCTCAGCCTCTCAAAGTGCTGGGATTACAGGTGTGAGCCACCATGCCCAGCCTATACATGTAATTTTAAATCTTTCTAAAACTTTTTCTTTTTTTTTTTTTAAGACAGATTCTTGCTCTGTCACCCAGGCTGGAGCGCAGTGGCACAATCTCGGCTCACTGCAAGCTCTGCCATTCGGGTTCATGCCATTCTCCTCCCTCAGCCTCCTAAGTAGCTGGAACTACAGATGCCCGCCACCACACCCAGCTAATTTTTTTGTATTCTTAGTAGAGACGGGGTTTCGCCATGTTCACCAGGATGGTCTCCATCTCCTGACCTCGTGATCTGCCCGCCTGGGCCTCCCAGAGTGCTGGGATTACAGGCGTGAGCCACCGCGCCCGGCCTTTTTCTTTTTTTTTTTTTCTTTTTTTTT